TCCAACTTAATCTAATCCTTGAATGAACTTCCTTCCATAATCAACCCCTTAAAAAAAAAAAAACAAACAACAGCAAAAAAAAAAAAAAAAAAAGCTTATCCTTGTTCTATCTTTTCCTTTAAAATTTTAAAATACAAATTTTATTAAGGAATAAATGACCCAAAATAAATTACATATTATATTTAAAGAACATTTTAATATATGTGTATTTGTAGTTTCATGAACCCAATACCACAATCAAAATAATAAACATATTATTATCTTCAAAAGTTTCTTTAAGTCTCTTATAATCTGTCCTTCGTGACTCTTCCCACACTCCTCTCAGCACGGAAACTACTGATCTGCTTTCTATCACTATCACTTAGTCTTTATTTTTTGCAGTTTTATATAAATGGAGTTGCAGTAAGTTATCTGATTTGTTTGACTCTTTCCCATTCATAAAATGTACTTAAGATCTATTCAGTTTTCTGTGTGTCTCAATAGTTATACTTTATAATTTTTTAGTAATATTGAATTGTGTGGATATACCATATTCTGTTTATCTACTCACCTGTAGGCAGATATTTAGGTTGTTCTAGATATTAGATATTACCAACAAAGCTGCCATGAATATGTATTTCCAAGTATAAATATGGACATATGCTTCCAAATGTATGCCTTAAGCATTATGGTCTCTTAAGAATTGTCTGTGTCGAATCAAAGTGAAAACAGCAACTCTGAAGATTACATGGGAAATTTAGGAAACAGCGAGTTTATGTTCATGGGAGAAGAACTATTCTGAAAAGGAGAATGAAAATGGTGTCTGAGACTTAAAGAATCTAATCAATGTCACTGAAGTGTACATGTGGAAACTGCTGCAATGGTGCATACATGCTTTGCTATGTATATTTTGGAAAACATCTAAGTAAATTTTTTAAAGAACATGAAGTTGATAAGCACACAAAAGCATGCTCAACATTATTAGTCATTAGAAAATGCAAATTATGGTAACAATGAAGTATCACTATCTATTGTTTTAGTTGTTAAGCACAGCAAATCTGTTCCAATTCACATTGACTCTATGTGGGGCTTCTGAGAAGTGACTGGTGAGTTTGAACTGTGAATGTTGTTGTTGTTAAATGCCGTTGAGTTGATTCAAACCCATAGAGACCTTGTATAGGGTTTCCAAGGAATAGCTGGTGAGCTTGAACCACCGATGTTGTAGTTCAAACGAATTTGTCTGATGCAAAATGTGTGGCCCACAGCACCACACGAGGACTCTCTGAATTGTGGATAACTAATATTAAATACTAGATATCCCAGGGTTGACAAGAATGTGGAGAACTAGTCTTCTCATACAATGTTGTGAGTATATAAATTAAAACAATTTGACAATTTCTTTTCATTTTATATCCTCCCCCACAGACACTATTTATATGTGTCTATAATGTCTTTGGGGTCCTGGTGTCATGCTATAGGATAAGTACTGAACTAGTAACTGCTAGGTCAGTGGTTCAAACCTATCAGCCACTCCTTGGAAGCTTTATACAGGGTTGTCATGAGTCAGAACCAATTTGAAAACACTTAACAACAATATTATGTCTTTATTTGCTGTTTTTTTTTATTTTTATTGTTGCTTCTAATAATGAAGAAACAGATAAATTAATGCATTGTTATAAAGTTTATATAATATTTTATGTTGCTGTATATATTTCTAACTCATATTTGATAAATTAACACTACACTTTTGTGCTGGAGCCCTGGTGTAATGCTGTAGGATCCTCACTG